TACTGTATGCTTTAACTTTTACTAGGTCAAGTGCAATATTCTTTGACTTACAAATATCAAGAATCTTGATTACCAGGTTAACGTTTGGCCTTTTGTTTCACAATCTCATATCAGTTAACAATGCTGCATTAGACAAACTTGCTATCGCTGCTGCACTATTGAGCCATTAACAATGATATCCAAACCGCCACTAACTTGGCTTTCATTAACGATGGCTATTTACTAATCTGAACCTTTTCTTCTAATATTATCTTTCTTTTACTATTATTCACCAACACCCAACCTGCTTCTATTCTACAATCTAAACTATCCTTCACTAAAAAACTATATGTATAAAAAATATAATTACTACTCTCTTTGCTATAATTAATTTCTACTTGCTATACTAACAAGGACTCAAGTACAGCATCAAAACCCTGCTCAATAACCAAACTCTTTTCATGCACATACACAACTATAGTGTCGATTAGTGGTCTCTTACCACTCTTTTCTAAAACTATATTGCTCTCTGACTTAAACCCTTTGACTTCATTTATTACTACTGGTATTTTCTTACTTCTATTTATACCTAATTTAGGAATTGCCCCTAATACTTCTCTCTTACTAACCCTTTGCTAGCATATATCACCTTTAGCTTTTTGATCAAAACCACATTTGTTATATTCTGACAATATGTTACTACCATTACTCATTGGTATATACAGTGATCAATCAAAAAATAAGTTTTCATCTTTTTTCTAACTCTACCCAAAATTGACTTGTTATTTTCTTTATTTACTATCACCCATTTATGATGCCTCTTGTTGTTTAATACCCTTTCTGCTGTGATTTGCATATATACTACATTTCTTGTTGGCAACTTGTATGTATCTACTACTTTCCTGCTTGTCTCAATACTAATAATTTTATTTTTAATAGCTCCAAACCACTTTGCTTTTTGTTATTTAAATGAATTTGCTCGCAAGGCCTGAAATTTGTTTTATGTTAACATCTCAGTACCAGCTTCGTTAATTAACTAACAATTAAATCTTTTTATAATACTGTAGTGTTTGCTGAAACCTTCCTCTCCTAAAACTTCTGCAATTGTCGAATCTGTTTCAAACACTTGCCACTTTTCTGTGTTTGCACTAATCAAGATTCCCAACTCACTTGCTTTTAATAAAACTAGGCTTGCTAGGTTATTTTTCATACCCTTCTCAACATCAAATTTTGTGAAATATGCTAACTCTCTTTAACAAGGCTTGCTAATACAAACCCCTCATTCAACCTTATTCGTGTTAACTTGCCTACTTGATCACAACTATTCAACCTATTTTGCAAACTAACTAATTGTTTGCTAAAAATTTCTTGACCAAGAGTTTTGTATCTAATGAGCCCTTGATGTGCTACTATGTAGTTATTCACCATAGCTGGAAGTTCAATCTTGTTCTTAATAATTGTCGTAGCTGATGCTGAAATTTGGGGTATCTATTTAAATCTATAATACCTACTAAAATCCACATATACTTTTTTATTAATAAAACTACCCTACTAACCCTAACCTAACTATGAAAAAAAAGTGTAAAAAAAAGGCCCAAAAATTTTTTATAATTTTATAATAAAATATGAAAAAATTTTAGCATCAGCTGTTTTCAGCATTAGCTGCGACAATAATTCATGTTATAGGTTGATAGATCCTATTGAGACTTGCTCTTAAGATTTTGGTTGACTAACTAATTGATAAGCTTTTAAACTGCAACATTCTTACAAACTGCCTAACAATAAATACTCTTTGCTTTCTTAACTACTAGGCTTTTATTTGATTCTATGTCTATCCAGACCCCAAGCAGACGTGTTAATATTATTTTCTTTTTTAGCCTGCACTCTATAACCATCTACTTCAATCTATCTTTCACTTTTGTTCAAAATGGTATTATAAACTAATAGCTTTGATTTTGCTCTATTTATTTGTATATTATTGAACTTGAAAAAATGTTGGGCTGTCTAAACTATCTGTTCCACTTAAGTTTTGCTTCCTGCCACCCATGTGGTATCATCAGCAAAAGCTACCGCTGCCTGCCTTACTGATTCTTTTCTTGTTATGTTTAACTGTAGATTAACTATTTTGTATGTGTTTACTATGTAATCAAGCTTTTTCATTGTCTTGGATTTTTCTTAATAAGAGATCATAAAAAATCTGCCACACTAGTTGAGATATTGTTTTTCCTTGCTCGATTTCATCACCTGCTTCAAAATCATTAGTTGGCCCAAAATCAGTAATTATTTTAACCCTTCTCTTGTTAAATAGTTCAATGATGAAGTTGATTATTTTGGATAGCTGCTTTATTCTACTGAGTGCAGCATGAAGTATCTTTATTGATACTGAGTTGTATGCCTTCTTCATATCTTGGAGCATCAACTATAACTCTTTTTTGCTTTCACACGCATTCTCCACAAAATTTCAACAAGGTTAATTGCACTTTCTGTTGAACAACCTGGCAAACCTGCATAATTTGAACCATGTAGAACTTCATATTTTACTATTACTTTTAAGATTCTTTTTGTTAATAGCTGAGTAATACATTTTCTAAATATTTCCAACAATGCTATTGGCTTAATATTATGTAACTGGAAACTCCAGTCTTCATTTTTTGGAATTGGGTACACTTGTACAAGCTTCTATTTATCAGAGATACTACTACTTGCTAGGCACAAACTTGCAAACTTTCTAAAGATCTTCTACATCTCTATACTAGCATTCTTAATTAGCATGTACCCAATTTCTGATGCTCCAGGTGCTGTTTTATTCTTTGTCTTTCCAATCACATCCAACCATTCTTCTAGTGTAACTTTATTATCTAACTCTAAATACCACTCTTCATTAACCTCCTCAAGCGGTTCATAAAATTTATTGATTACACTTTGGTCATTAAGTATCTTTTTCTCTCTAAATTGACTTTGAAAGTGTGCTACAGTTTTAGACAAAACATCTCTTGACTCATTGTACAAAGTCCATATATTGCTATCTTTTTCTAAAATATAGTCGAGTTTTATCTTTCTAAAGGGTTTGTCGAGAATACTTGCTAGCATTACTCCAACTTCATCATTGATTCTTTATATCTATGAGTTACTGCCATGTTGATTCTTTTGTGAGTAGCTTTCTCTTCTGCCACTTTCTCTTGTACCCACATTGCTTTCCAGCACTCTTTTGCACAAGCAGTCCATTCTAGCAGTGCATCACTTTCATTTAAAATGTTCTCTAAATTCTGTATATCTGCCTGGTGCTCAATATTAATTCTCTTGATCTCCTCACTAATTGAAATGAAATCTAAAACAACATCTTCACATACTGCTGCTTTTTTAACTCATTGAATAATTTTGCTTAATCTAACTATATTTTTGTGCAATTTTGGTACTCTTTTCTTACTTCTTTTCTCATACATACCTCCAGGTACCTTTTTTTTTGAAATATTCTTGTTAGCAGCACACCTTATTGCACCTGATATAATATCCCATATTATATTGAGCCTGTCATGTGTAGATGAGATCCAACACTTGGCAAGTGCTTGATTGCCTATAATGAACCTCTCGAGATCTTTTTGATAATCTTTCCAATTATCTTTCATTGCTTTATCATACAAATAAACAACCCTAGAGATTCCTCTTTTCCTCTCACTTGCCTTACTACAAGTTCTAATTAGATGTTTAAGTAAGATATATAATATTGCTATTGCATGATCACTTGCTATTACAACATCTGCTTCACAGATATCAGCTTCTCAAACACCATATTGAAGATCTTCAGACACCCAAATTTGATCGATTCGTGTCTTAATTCCCTTTCCAAACCATGTAAACTTCTTAGTATCTGGGTTGATTAATCTAAATATATTGACAAAACTCTGATTTTGAAACTATTTATGAAGTAGTAATACTTTGAAACATGCTGTATTTTCTACACTAGACTTATCTAATTCTTATCAACTATATGATTAAAATCACCCATTATGACAAAATGTATCTTGTCTGTTCTCTCCATGAAACTTGTTATAATCTTTTGTTAAATCTTTTTAACTATGTTCTTGTCATTTGGTGGAAAATAAACTACTAAAACAACTACCACTACTTGCTTAAAGTAAAACTATGCTTCTAATAAATATTCCATAAACCTCATAACTTTACCTAAATGTCTTTCCCACCTTGAACTCACTAATAGTTCTATACCAGAACCTTTACACTTTGAAATTTCACCACTTGCGACCAAAAACCCCTCATACTAATTCCTTTCATACTAAATCTAAGATCTTTCTCACTTGCATTAGTTTTTACTAACCCTAAAAGTTCAATCTCTTTGTCATTTGCTCATTCCAAAATTGCCCTTAGTTTAATTTTGTTTTCTCTTATACCATTAATATTATGACATGCTACCCTTAATTAAAAATCACTTGCTATTTTATCATCTATTATATTAGTGTCTGTGTTGTTAGAGAGAGCTTCGTCTTGCCAGACTAAGAACTCACTACACAAGCCTCTTTTTTTTTAAGCATGCTCATGGCGCCCTTAGGAGTGATTGGGGCCTCTGGTCTAGTGTTCTGAGTTGATTAAAATTTTCTAATCGATTAGTTGTCAACTTAGTTGTTGATTAGTTGCAACTAATAGTCACATGTTTTCAATAAATTTGATTGGTATAATAAATAATTACATGTTTTCTGTATCATTTCAAACTATTCTGATTGGCTAAAAAATTTTATGCTTTAAATTTATTATGTAAATAATCAACCAACGATTAGTTGGTTAAAAAATTTCTAATCAATTAGTTAACTAGTTGTCAACTAGTTGGTTTTTTAACTAATGATTTGGATCACTACTCTGGCCCTCATATATATTTTCTCAATTCTGTTAAGTCTCACTAATATTTTTTCAAAGATACCTTTGTAGCTCTGATCAAACTGCTCTGCCTTATCGCTTTTCTTCACTGCTTTACTCTTTAAGCCTGAGGCAAAACACGTAACTTCAGGGTTTCAATTCTCTTTATTGTATACTTTTTCATTTTTAGATAATCTTTGTTTAACCCAACTTCTTTTACTACCACAATGACGCTTACTTTTTCTAATAGTACTATTAAGTCTTTTCTGCCTTCTGTCTCTACTTGACCTCTTGCTCGTAACTGTTTTGTTAAAGTCAAGTTTTCTTCTATTACTTAGAGGCTTCTTATGTTCACCATAATACTTCAAACTAGCTAATTTTCCATTTTTTATCTCTGCGACTGAAGGATTCCACTCTAACTTTGTATTAAACTAGTACAAACTTGACCTTTGTGCTTTAACTAAATCCTCCTCTGTTTCAAAGTATAATAATGCTTTTCTACTCTGATTACTATTGCTATTGTTTAGTGTATAGACTGTGCATACTTTGTGGTTTCTTAACTGTTGAAGTATGAGGCTATCAAAAGCTATGCTTGGTATATTGTAAATTGCACTTTTAAATTTGCTTCTGTTTTCTAACTTTATGATATCAAATTTTCTGGGCATTACTCTGTACAATTTGCCTTGATCTAAATGTATTGCCTAGCTTTCTTGTAAGGAGTTTTTTTGCTCTTTGATACTTATTTCAATATTAATAAAGGCTGCCTTGGTTCTAAAGCTATATTGCTAATCTAAAACTTTAACTCTCCCATAAAATTCAATAAAATTTTTAATTTCATCTGCACTTATTTTCTTCGGGTGATCACTTTTTGGCACTCATGCTAAATTATAAATATCTTCATGCCTCTTGACCTTCTTGTTCTCTATTTGTTAAATAGTGTTGTTCATTTTATTGGCCAGTTGCTCTTTTATCCCATAATCGATGATGCCAACTTCATTTTAAACCAATGCAATTTTCTTTAACTTAATCTCCATTTCATTAGAATTAATTGTGTTCTCATACTCTGACAAACTTCTTTTATGTGCACAAACTTGATTACTCTCTTGCACCTTTCTACCATAATCAGTTGTTAACACGACTAACTTGTCATAGCTGACCTCCATAGTTGCAGATACTATCTTACTTTGTTCTTCTTTAGTATGAAAATTATTATTAGGCTTTGTATTTAGTCCAAGCAATGTTCTTTCTTCATCTGAGATTTTGTCTTGTCTGATTACTCTACTCTGTACTCATTTATACCTATCTAAAACATTACGTATAATTGTTATTAAATGACTATTGCTTGTACCTAGATATTCTGCAACATGTATATCTTCTTTTAGTACTGTTGTACTTTGTGCTTTATAAAGCTCTAATTTCTCCTTTTCCAGTTTTTTAAAAAAATCTTTATATTCTATAAGTGCTGGCATTTCTTGTAGTTGTTACTTTAGCTGTCATGTGCTTTCTATATACTTCTTTTAGACTTGTTAAACTTTTGTTGTTAACTCTATCTTGTGACTCCAAAAACATGCGATTTTGATATGTCTTTATGTGTTTTTATATGTTTTCACATGTTAAATTTATGAAATAGCTTGTACGTAACTATGTAACTATATGTGTCTATTTGCATAGCACAAAAGATCTACACTACAGGATTAACACTATTTTTCCTCAACATTGAAATAAGCAAGAAAGTTCTATCTATGAATTGCTAGAGCCATTGTATACTTCTCCTGTACAATAAAAACTCTTTTTTACAGCTCTACTTAGCTTTTCTTCACTATTGTATAGACTTTAAGTTGTCTGTACTAGGTTAAACTTGCTTTTCCAGTGTCTTGTTGCCAAGCGATTAAACAAACTTAAGGATAGGGTATCGATCTGCAATGTTACACATATGATATTTAGTGTTAATCACGGGAAAGAGTTTTTTTTAATTATAACGTGACTTATTTGCAACTAATACGATTACTAATAATAAATAGTTTTATGCAACAAATGT